GTACGGGATGGGAGGCAGTGACATGACCACTGTCCCATGGACAGATGGGGTGGGGACAGTGACATGACCACTGTCCCATGGACGGACGGGGTGGGGACAGTGACATGACCACTGTCCCATGGACGGACGGGGTGGGGACAGTGACAGGACCACTGTCCCATGGACGGACGGGTGGGGGCAGGTGGGCTACTCTGGCCGCCTCCCCTTGCTCTGCAGGGGGGGGTGGGCCAGCCAACCCCACTCACGGGTTCCAGCCCAGGTCCGCGGGGTTGATGTAGAGGATGCCGGCTCTGGAGACGGTGGCCGGGGTGGCTGTCCTCAGGTGGCTGATCTCAAACACCAGCCTCATGGTGCGGTTCAAGGGGATTCGCTCGTTGCTGGCCAGGGTGAGGACCTGCAGGAGACGGGAGCCCGCCTGGGGTCAGCGCAGCTGCGTGACATCCCTGCTGGGTCCAGCAGGCAAGGAGCTGCGGGGAAGTGCGCACGCCCACCCTCTAGCCCTGCCTGGCCTCCACACCCCTCTCCCCTCCTGGCATGAGGACCCCCTGGGCAGCTCTGGACACAGGAGTAGAAATGTCCAGAACCGTGGCCCTTGCGATCCTGGAAGTTCTTGCATTCCCTCCACCGGGTGAGAATCATTTCCTTCCTGAGTGTGTGTGTGTGTGTGTGTGTGTGTGTGTGTGTGTGTGTGGTGCTGACACGGAACCCAGGGTCTCGTGCCAGCTGGCAAACACCTTTCCACTTCGCTGCACCCCCAGCCCTTTTTGTGTTTAGAGACAGGGTCTGGCTTAGTTGCTTAGGGCCTTGCTAAGCTGCTGAGGCTGGCCTTGAACCATGATCCTCCTGCCTCAGCCTCCTGAGCTGCTGGGGTCACAGGTGTGTGCCCTGTGCCCGGCGGAGGGGCACCTTAAACTGCTTCAGATAACTCTGAAAACCACTTCTCCTCCCAGGCTTCGGCTGTCCTTTCCATGTGCTGCCAGGGACGAGCTGGAGGACTGTCCCTGTCCTCACGAGGGGCGTGTGGAACTGCGTCCAATGTCTGTGCAGTGACCAGGTGGCCTCTGGCCCTCGTGACGTTTGGGCCCATTCTGGGTCCCAGCCTTGGCCAGTGCTCAGTGTGCATGGCTGGCTGCCCTCATGGCCCCTCCTAAGGTGGCCTGGGGACAGTTCACCTTGTTGTCATCCATGACCGTGTTGAGAGACTCGATCCACATGGGGTCGATGTCCCCATCCAGGACGATCCACTTGGGGCCATCATGAGTGATGTTGGCCAGGTCCCGCATGACGGTGGAGAAGAGGCCTGCGAGGAGGTGGCCGGCTCACTGCCCGTCCCCTGCCCCAGGTGGCCCCCTGTCTGCCCTCCCCACCCCAGGTCCCGCTGTGCTCCCCCCACCTGCCGGGATTGGGAGGGCTGTGGGGACCGGGTACAGAGCCGCAGATGGTCACAGCCCTGTCGCTGTAGAGGTGTGGGCAGCACCCGAGGGGCAGAGTGGGCGAGAGGCGGAGGTGGGGAGGGCGCCAGGCAGAGTGGCTCCGGGCCTGGGAAGCCGGCCGAGGCTGAGGTGTGGGGAGGACCTGCTTTCCCAGGGCCCAGGGACAGAGGCCTGGCCACCAAACAGCCTGCCTGTCGGGCCGCGGGCCCTCGCCCGGCCTCGGGTTCTCTTCCTGCAGCCCCCTCCCCGCCTGGTGGTGGTCCACTGTCCTCCCAGGCTCTTTCCCTGCTCCGAGGGTGGGAATCATCCCACTGGGCACGAGCCTGCCGAGGGCCCTCTCCAGGCAGAGCCTCGGTGAACGGCACTGAGCCTGGTGACCAGCCCGGAGGACCAGGGCCACCAGGCCAAGCTTCCCACCGCCCGCTCCCGAGGCCACAGCTCCCGTTAGTCACCGTCTTTCCACTCCCTGGTGGCTGGGTTGATGATGCCAAAGAGCTCGTCACAGGTGACGGCCTTGGGGTCCAGGTCCACAGCCACCGGCTTCCTCTTCATGTTCTGGTAGGTTTTGTTGAGGGACTTGAGGACCTGGCAAGGGCAGACGTCACTCAGGCGTGCCTCGACACCCACTGCGCCCTCATCGGGGACACACGCAGCCGGTGCAGGGCAGCCTTCCTGGGACCAGTGGGGAGCCCCTCGCTGCTCCTGGCTTGCTCTGGAGTGGGGTGCGGGTGAGCCGGCCGCCCAGACAACGGCTGGCGTGGAGGTGGCCTGTTCACGGGTGCAGACCGCGAGAGCTCTCGGACCCTCGGAACCCGCTTCATTTCCTCTTCCTTCTACGAGTAGTGCAAGCTCACGGGGAAGCACAGCGGAACACGCAGCCTCCAGGGAGGAGACCACCCACCCCCCAGGCCCTCTGAGGGCACCCCCTGTGCGTCCCATAGGTGCAGGCCCCGCTCAGGAAACCGTTTCTAAACAGTTTCTGCCTTTTAAAAAGCAACTTTCCCTGAGGTCCCCCCATGTCATCAGTCTTTGGAAATGACTTTTAAATTCATTCTTACGTTTGCGACGCTGGGGATTGAACCCAGGGCCTGTGCGTGCTTAGGCCAGTGCTTTATCACATCCCAGCCCGAGAAATGAGTTGGACGGCCGCACACAGTTCATCCTGTGGACACCCCGCTGACCACCGGCCTGGGTAGGACTTCCAGGGTCACCGACACTGGTAATGTCACCCTCCCCCTTGCCTGGGCAAGGAACAGGGGGTGGGGTGGGGCTGCCGGGGGGCAGGTGACTGGAGTCAGCCGGGAGGGGCAGGTCCTCAGGGACCAGGGCCGTGACTGTGCCCCCCTCCTTCCTGGCGCAGGCCCCTTGCCTTTGGGGCCAGGACACCACGATGCACGAGGCGGGGTCCCTGACCCTTGGGCCCAGCCCTCCCCGGTGTGCTAGCTGTGTCCCTGCAGGCCACAGGGGCAGACCTGGGACTTGCCGCTGCCCGCGTTCCCGATGACGAACACCGAGTGCCGGACTTGCAGCAGCTCCTCCAGCTGCACCACCTTCAGCACGAAGCTGTCCTCGGCCTGCAGCCGGAGCTCCACCACACTCTGCTTGATGATCTGGGGCGGAGAGCGGGCTCAGCGGCCCACAGGACACCAGAGGAGTGCCCGACCCCCCACCGCGGATGTGTTCGCCAGCTCTGCCCTTGAGGCTGCCGAGGGCCCCCACGGCCGGAACCCCACCCCTCGGCCGGAACCCCACCCCACTGCCCAAAACCCAGCACACTGCCTGAACCCCACCCAGCTCCCCCTGGGACCTGGGCACTGAAAAAGGTGGGGCCCGCAGGGCAAGAGGGGCCGGGGGCCACCCAGGGAGGCAGGGGAGACACTCGGGCCACCCCCCCACCGGGGCTGTCTTTGCCAGGGACCTGCCGGCCAGCGTACAGCGGGAGAAGGGCCTGTCCAGGCGGCTCTCCAGGAGAGGAGGGCCCACCTACCTTCTCAAAGTTCAGGTCTCGCTTCCGAGGCACGTCCAGAGCCGGGAAGAGGTCCCCGATCAGCCCCATGAACACGGGAAGGTCGTCGGTCACAATCTTGGGGATGTTGAAGTCCCGCAGCGCCCTCATGAGCACCTGGTCTTCTGCCCGGGCAGGGTCCCCCCTCTTCAGGGAGCCGGCCACCACCAGCACGGACTTGATGGCTCGCAAGCCCCAGTCGTAGTGATCCTGTGGGGGCAGGAGGCTGAGAGGGCGCCTCCCCACCTGGCCAGCGGGTGCCGCCAGGCTCAGGGTGGCTCCGGGGCCAGTGTGGGGGGCAGGGCGGGGATAGAGGCCAAGGTGGCCCCGGGACACGTGGAACCCTCCCGGGGCACACACCTGCTTGGAGAGCAGCTCTTTGCACAGGGTGTAGAGTGTGATGAACTTCCTGGCCAGCAGCCGGGCCTCCAGGAAGCCCTCGGCCACCAGCATGATCTCACAGATGAGCTCAAAGTCGGGGACCACCATGGCGCAGGGCCTGGGGGGATGGCGTGGGCTTTGGGCTTCTCCTCCCACCCGGCTCCTGCCCCCACCTGCCCCTTCCCCTGGCAGAGCCCACCTCCCCTTCCAGGCGGCCCACTGCGCTGGCCACCTTCTGGTGAGGAGCAGATCCAGCCCCACCCTACCCACCTCTCCTCCCTGCCACGCCCTCTGCCCTCGCCACCCACTCTCCGGCTTCCTCCCGTGGATGGGCAGGTATCTCCCCTGGGACCTCCCGCCTCGGCAGGACCCACAGCTTTGGAGGAGGCCTTTCCCGCTGCCTGCCTGCCAGGCCCGGACCTGCAGTCCCCACCGCCTCGTCCCCAGCTCAGCCCTGCTCCTCCTCCACTGCCTCCTCCGCTTTCCCCAGGGTCACACACCTGAACAGGGCCTTCAGGTTCTCGGGCAGCTCTGTGCGTCCCGCGTACCCGGGGTTCATGGTGATGAAGATGCCGACCGAGGGGATCAATCTTATCATCTCTCCCAGGAAGTTAAACGTCTTTTTCTTGGCCCGAATTGCATCCTGGACACATTTTACCTAAATGGTTCGTGCACAGACACGTCAGCATGGCAGTGCCCTAATTTGCCCGTCACTTGGAGAAGTGTCATGCAGCCTGTGACCTGAGGCAGCTCCTGTGGCTCAGCAAAGCTCCCAGGGGCGTCCAGGTTGCTGCGGTCGGCAGCTTGCTCCCGGCCCTTGCCAAGTTCTGTTCCAGCCCCAGCCCTTTTTGAATCTGTTCCCTTGGGAGGTCCTTTAGTGGCCACCTCCTCTGTGTCACAGAGCCTCTGAGGCCGTCTGCTGCCGTTGACCAGGTTAAATCCAGAACTCCAGGGATCTGGTCTGCGTTTGGATTTTTGCAGAAACTGGAGAAGGTGGCTGCAAACCTCCGAGTCACCACTGGAGGGCACCCAACGCCCATGGCTGAAGCCTGGCTCACCCCAGAGCAGAGAGAGCCTTTGCCAGCCAGGGGCACTGGGGCTTCGTCCCTGCGGTCCGCACAGTGGTCTCAGGTCTGGGAACACCTGGCCCAGCACCAAGCCCCTCCTGCCGTTCTATTCTTGTTCCTGCTTCTGTTTGTGCCTCCATACACTCAGTACCTCAATCAGACTCTGCCTAAATATTCTGGGGTTTGTCTGCCAACTTGGGTGAGGGGCAGGAACACTGCTCAATGCCCCGGGGGCCAGGGGAGGGTCCCCAAGGAGGTGGCCAACCGTGCCAAGGGTCAGGTCTCTGCTGCCCATGTTCTCTGCCGGATGGCCTCCAGCCTCAAGGCTGGGCAAGTCAGCGTGGACACAGGAGCTGGGAGGAGGGAGCCTCTGCCTGCGTTCGCTCCAATCCCACGGGCAAACCCACGTCATCAGCTCCTACAGATTAGGAGACGGAGGTGCAAAGACTTTAAGTGGCCCCTGTGCAGAGAGCTGGGGTTCACTGCCCTGAGTACGAGCCCCGAGCGGCCCGGCCCTCTTGTGCTGGGGTGTGGGGAGGGGTCTCAGCGCCCTGGCCCTCCTTGCTTCCCCCTCCTTTTGGAATCTCAGCGTCGATCCTGGGGCTGGGGCTGGCCTCAGGTGGCCTCCGAGGGAGGGTGCAGTGGCTCTTGCATCCACAGCCTCAGGACCACTGGGGCTTCTGTTTATAATGTCTGTGGTCCGGAACCTTCCTCCACACTTGGGAGCGGGCCCAGGCAGCTGGGGCCACCTCAGGGACCAAGGCAGACGCACTCTGCGGCCTTCACTCAAGACCGTTAGTCACTAAAGAGGCACAAACACGGCAGGAGCCTGAGCCCCATTGTGCCGGGGCCTTCGAGGGGCCAGCCCTGCTGACCAGGCTCCTCACCCGGGCCTGCCCGCCCACCTGCGGCTCCTCTGCCTTCCCGCTCGGCTCTGCGCAGGCACGCGCCCCACTTAAGGACGGCCACTTTACAGACTGGTGATGCGGCCATCGCCTGGGTTCTCCCAACCCGCCTCGTCCCTCAGCGCCAAGGACACCAAGGGAAGAGCGCAATGTCCTCGTCCAGGTGCCTGGAGAGACCTAGAGGTCCCCAGTCACTGCCCTAAACCTGCAGTCATGCCCTCCGGAGACCCCTGAGGCCCGGGACCATCACCCAGACCCCAGCCACCCAGCCACCTAGCCACCCGGGAAAGGCTGGCCCTCCCCATTGAGGGGGCAGCCTGGTCTCCCATCCTGGGCTGCCCCCTGGAGTGAACCCCCTCGAAGCTCGCCTGTGCTCCTGGTCCTGGGCCCGGCTTCATTTCACCGGCCAGAAGTTCTGGTCTCTGGTGTCACCCTGATCCGAGGACCCTGCTCTCTGCTCAGGCTCTGCACTTCCGTCCTGTGCTTTCCCGGGGCGTTCCCAAACACACGTTCCCTCCCTCCCTCCCTCCTCCTCCTCCTCTTCCTTCCCTGACAGGCTCTCAGCACACTTGTCTAACTAAGAAACTCCTATGCACCCTTCCAAGCCCAGCTCTTCGTGCCTGCACGGAACCCTTTGTCCCTCTCCCGTTAGATTGAGCTGTTGGCCCACGGCTGCCTCCATGTGCACTTTAAGTTTGGTTCCAAAGTGTCTCCCTGCATAGGTACCGAGAGCAGTGGACCTTAACATGATGCGTGACCTCGGTGACCTACTCCTGTGACAGGAAGCAGAGTCTCAGCCAGTCACCCTCAGTCTAACTGTCCAAACTGTTCAAACAAGACGGGCGCCAGCTGCGACCAATCCAGCGCCTCCACCTCCCTTCCTTTCCTCTGGCTGTAACCTGCCCATGTGGCAGGCGGGATGGGGACCATTGTGGTCTCCACTGCTGCCCATTAAGAGCTGTAAAGCTAGATTCCTGGTAGCTTCCTCTTCCTGTACCCCCCCCCTGAGTGAAGACCCCTGCATGTCCTTGGTCCTCTAGGCCAGGTCTGTTTGCTGTGTCCATCTCCACACACCTAGGCGGGCTGTGGGTCGGGGGCCCAGGGTGGCCTTGGGCATCTTGCCACCCCGCCTGGAGTGCTGCACATCGGCAGGAGGGTCCCTCTGGTGGCTGAGACGCCCCCAGCTGCCAGAGCGGCCAGCTGCCCACCCGAGCAGAGCTGGGGCAGGGCCTACCTGCACCGCGATCACGGACAGGACTTCCACCGAGATCCGGTTGAACTCATCGAAGCAGCCCCAGGCTCCGGTCTGGGCCAGGCCCTTGTAGATGTTCCCACAGGACTAGAGGGCGGCAAGAGGCAGAGGGCAGGGCTGCAGGCCCCGCCACCACCACACGGGGCCAGGCTCAGCCTGGGGCCTCTGGAAGGCCACTCCCCACAACAGGCTCAGGGGCAGAGGGCTGGGAGCCGCAGGGACATCCTGCACCCCGGCCCCCAGAGAGGGCGTCCCTCCCCAGAAGCACGGCTGACTGGTTCTGCGATTCCGCTCTGCGGTGCCCCTCGTCCCGACCTTCCTTCACTGCACGCAAAGGAGGGGTCCCTCTGAGGCGGAGCAGGGCCCCAGCACTCCCAGGACTTCTCTGGACCCTGGGTCACTCTGGCCCAGCTGGATCATCAGGGTGACTCTTGGGGACACTGACCCATGGGATTCCCCTCCTGGGGCACTTGACTTTCAATTTCACTTCTCTAGAACCCGGGAGGCTGGTGACCGCCTTGATGGTCAGCAGGGCCAGTGGACCCTCCTCAGCCTCTGGATAGGGACTCCCAGCGGTAGGGCTCTGACCACTGCCCACCTCCTCTTGCAAGAGGCTGCTGTGGCTGGGCAAAAACTGAGCTCCTCCGCTCCTGTTTGGCCCTTTGAGCTCTGATGAGGCCCTGCAGTGTCCATGACCTATGGCCCTGCCCAGCTGGCCCCTGCTTCCACCCAGCCTCCTGCGCTGCCCACCAAGAATGGGCTGCTCCTCTGGCAGCCTCTGACCTCTGTTAAGGCTGCCTCTGGGGACAGGGGCAGGACATTGGGTCTCTTAGCTCCGGGAGCCTCTTCCAACAGGCCACGCAGGGGACACTGTAGCACACGGGGCCCCCGGGGCCCCTAGGAGCCTCCTCCCAGGTCCTCACAGCTGCTGGGACCCTCAGAGCTGCCTGGGGGGCGGCCTGGGACCAGGAGCCCTTCCTCCGCCCTAGTTGGGCACCCGTGGCCACGGCTGCCCACCTTGTAGTCCATCTGCTCCGAGCAGTTGAAGACGTACACCATGGTGCCCAGCGCTCGGCCCAGGTCCTTGGTCGTTTCTGTCTTTCCAGTGCCTGCAGGGCCCGCGGGGGCTCCGCCCATGATCAGATGCAGAGACTGGGTCAGCGTGATGTAGCACCTGCCGAAGACCCCGTCCCCTCCTTGGGTGACCCTGCTGTCCTGCCTCACCTGGTGTGTGGTCTCAGCTAGCTGAGTGACAGCAGCACCCGCTCAGCCCCCGGGGGGTTAAAGGGAGTGGACAGGAAGGGCCTCGTGGAGCAGAGGTGCCGGGCCCTCCTGCAGATCTGGGGAGCGCCCTGCGGACACCACAGTCAAACGGGTTTACGCCAAGCAGCTTCTGGTCCCAGTGACTTTGTAAGGCACTCGATCCTCGACAAACTCACCAGGACTCACGGAACACAGCACCCACCTTGCAGGCCCTCAGAGAGGCCAGGTGACTCCCCCAAAGCCACACAGCAAGGGTGCAGAGCCACAGCACCTGGCAGCTGGCGGGTCTGCCTGACTCCAGCCCAGCAGTGAGGAGCAGACGAGTGGCCGTAGGGCAGGGTGGTGGCCGCGGGCACTCACCTGTCTGTGAGGGGGGTGATGACCAGCCGCGGCGTGTTGCCCAGGTACTCGTAGGAATACTGGATCTGGGCGTCGCAGATGTTGGCGAAGCAGTGTTTCTTCTCCTCATCCCAGCGGTGGCGGAGCTGTGACTGCCACGTGAAGGCCTGGGAGCTCTCCACCTGCAGGGACAGCCCTCGGTCGGACCCTCCCGGCCATTTCCCTCCAGACCCACAGCCACCCTTGCCCTCACTGCCCCGGCCGGCTCCCGACGGCTCTTGTGCTGCTGGTGAGCTGCTGGGGGAGTCCCCGAGAGGGCTGGGGCGGCGAGGACACCCCCAGGAAGGGGCTGGGCCGCCCAGGGCGCGGCTGAACCTGCCTTGGCGAGGATCATCTTGGCCACCACGTCCCGGGCGTGCACGTCGATGGTGCAGATGGTCATGATCTTCATCCTGTCGCCGGCGCTGAGGCTCCCGATGAGCAGCGTGATGAGCGCGTTCAGCTGGCTGATCTGCAGGGGGACCGGCACCTTCCCTGAGACCCGCGTGGCGCCCACCAGCGGCAGACAGGGCCACCCAGCCCGGCTAGTGTGTCTATTTTTTTTTTGCATATAAATACCACTGTATGCAACCCAGAACAGGAGGAGACCGTGAGAAAACGTGGACAGTGGTATCGCTGTGACATGGGACTGTGGGTAAATTCCCTGTATTTTATTTTAAAAATCATCTGCAGTTTCTAAGTATCTAACCATCTGTGGGCTGGGGCTCAGTGGCAAAGCGCTCACTTTGCAAGTGCGAGGCCCTGGGTTCCATCCTCAGCACCACGAAAATATAAGTAAACAAAATAAAGATATTATTGCGTCCATCTAGAACTAAAAATATTTAAAAAAAAAAAAGTCTGCGCTAGTATCTGGTGATTTCCAGAGGAGCTACTGGGTCCTGCACTCCCAGGTGGGACCCTGGGAGCAGGCCACTCTGACCCCTGTGTGCGACCTTGGGGGACAGTGGCCCTGGGGGCGGAGCCCGGCCCACCTGCTTCTTGTTGTAGTCTTTGATGGCGTTTTCATAGCCCTCCTCCAGCCGCGAGAACGCCAGGCCCACCTCGGTGGTCCACCAGATCTGGGTGCAGGTCAGCGCAATCTGGAAGCAGAGGGGGCAGTGGCCCCGCGGTGAGCGTTGGCGCCTGCGGTTCATCAGGACCCACGCCCCCCCCCCCTGCTGGCTCTCTCCCATGAGCCTCTCTGCCATCAGCCAGGGGCTCGGCACCTTAGAACCCAGCCCTTAGGCAGAGCAACGGCGCGCGCCCACCCTGCTGGGCCCCGGACCTGGGCCGGGTAATCGAAGATCCACTGCTCCCTCGGCTTCTCCTCGTAGGTCACCACAGCTTCTGGAATTTCGTGTCGAAGGGTGGCACACATTCTGTCCAGCACTCGATTGAGCCAGACCTCCACCTGGGGACAGAAGCCACCCTGACCTCAAGGAGCCTTGAGCACATCAGTTCCAAGGATTTGCTTTGGTGCAAAGAAAAAACTCCAGCAAGCAGCTGGTGCAGTGTCCTGTGCCTCTAGACCCAGCGGCTCAGGAGGCTGAGGAAGGAGGACTCCAAGTTCAAGGCCAGCCTCGGCCACTGAGTGAGAACCTGTCTCGAAGTGAAAAGGGCTGGGGACAGAGCTCTGTGGTATACACTTGACTAACACTCGCGAAGCCCAGTGACACACACAAGGAAAGCAAGAAGAAAGGGCCCTCTGTCCTCCTCCTCGTCCTGGGGTGGAAATGTCAAGGAGGCCACGGAGCACAAAAGTGCCCACCTCAACCCTCTGGCTGGCAGCCCGGCCGACTCTGACCCTGGCAAGCTCGCGGCACTAGCATCGAGGGCAGGCGGACTGTTTCTAAGTCAGAGAACAGGGCAGACAGCGAGGCTCAGCCTGCTCAGGGCTGAGCAGAGCTGAGGTCCCCCGCCAGCCGAGGGGCTCTGCCCTGGTGCTGCTGCCTGCTGGTTCAGGGACGCGGGGGCGGGAGGGCCGGGCCACAGGACATGCCGGCCACAAGGCCTTTGGCAAGTCTTATTTGTGTTTTGAAAGGTAAATGCTGTGGCTGAGGTGCAGCTCAATGGGGGTGCTCCGCAGGCCTGAGGCCCTGGATTCCGATTCGGCACCAGGAAATCGGAACAGAGAAGGCAAAAAATAACCCTTCAACCAACTGCTGCTGCGGGGAAGGGTCCCCAGGGGGATCATGGCAGGCTTTCTGGTTGAGTGGTCAGTACGGGTCAGGTCCTGGGGGGAGTAAGTGCCTGTGGGACCGGGAACCAGCTCTGATTGGTGGATCTCTGGCCCGCCCTGTCCCGCCCTGCACCTCCTGTGTCCTTCAGGACAGTGTCCTGCACAGAGGCCCGGGTGCCTCACTGGGTTCTCTCTCCCTGGCCTGATGTGCCCCGTGTCACAGCGCCCTCTGGTTTTGATGGGCAGTTGGGCAGGGGGCCTGGGGAAGGGGCCAGCCGGCGCGTGGGTGGGAGAGGAGGAGGACCCCAGGTGCTCAGGCCCACCAAACAGTGCCGCCAGCGCTCTGGGCAGGCACGTGAAACCCGCGATTCTCATGATGCGGTCCCCCTCAGCACGGTCCCCTTGGCCACACACAAGTCCCGTGACCTTGAGCAACCTCCCCCCTGCCCCTCTCCTCAAGCTCTTCTCAGGGCCGTGGGAAAGGCCGGGCTGGGCACTCCCCAGGAGCATGTTCCCGAGGGTGCAGGAGAGGGGCAGGGCGTCCCTCCTCCGAGGTGCAGGGGGCCTGCTGCCACACTCACGCCAGGTCCCGCCTTGGAAGCTGTCACTCACCTGGCCCGAGAGGTCACTCTCATGGTCAAAGTCCACATACTCGTCCTCCTTGCTGTACATCCCCACGCCCACCTTCAGGGGCTTCTCGTCAGCACCCAGTCGGAACTTGAGCTTACACAGGCTGTCGAAGAGCTTGGACAGGTGGCGGCTCACCTGGGCGGAGGGAACCTGCACTGGTCGGGCGGAGGGGCGGTGCCCCAGGCCC